GGTTGAAAACACAGAGACCAGGTTGTAAAGTAACAGTTTAACATACCACCCGCAAGACCTGCAAGGGAGTGGGAGCCCACTCCCCATCTTGAGCCAAAATGGCATCAAGATTTGGAGTAGTTCAACGCCTACATGTCTCAAATCATAAAGTGTCCCTACCCAACCATCCATTTAAGAAACATGAGGGTAAACTCAAGAGTGTGTACAGCAACTCTTTGACCGCCAGTCACGAACAGAGTCTGCTACATACTGGAAACCTGCCATGCTACTAGAGGCATGGACAGAGGATGGAAAATAGCTTTATTGAACATTGCTTGTAAAGTCCTCGGCTGAGCTTCACATACCTCCCGTAGTCACACTCACCCACTGTCCATCACCTCAAGAATGCGAGGCAGGCGGCTAGGATGGGCAGAGTTGAGGAGGAAAAGCAACCGCTGCCCAAGGGTCTCAACCTGACGGTGCGCGAAGCGATCGATAGAGGATGGTCTGAGGACCCTTCGCGACAACATTGGAAGGGAGTGTCTATGTTCAGAAGTCTTCTTCTGCAACCGCATCAGGTCGATGATCACGCGCGCCTGCTCTCGCTCAGAGCCTGGACGTCGTCGACGTAGCGGACGCAGGTAGCAGGACGTCAAGGACGTGGGACACGTCAGGGGCGCCAGGGAAGTAGCGGACGTATAGGGAGCAGGACGTCAAGGACAAGGACGTGGAGGGACGCATAGCGGACGTAGGGGGAAGGACGTCGAGGACGTCCGGGATGTATAGAGGACGTCAATGTCCGATTCAATGTCTGGGTTGACCGTCCAGAAGTGTAAGGCTGGCAATACACACGGGATGTGAAGCCATTCTCATTGTTGCTGGACTGAATGGTCCAAGGCGGAAAGGCTGCGTCAGCCAATGATCCGTGTTGAATGGGACATCAAAGTTGACCTATGCGGCTGGGGGGGCCACGGGCCTCAATGAGGCGGTCAGTTGCAGGCATCAACTTTTCTTTTATTAGTAGGAGATGGAAAGGCATCTCCTTCTCCCTACTTAGCCTCGTTTTCCAAAATCCCTGTGGCCCGCAGCTTGCTAGAGCGGAGGGCCAAGAGACGCCGGACATGCCGGCACCGGTCAGAAACCAAGCTATTGTGGAGAGTGAAGGGTAAGCCACGGGCCGCAGACTGTAGCAGCCCTCAAGCCAAGATGAAATGTATTTACCGCAACCTCTGCAGTGATGAGCTTGCACCTCGTGGATGCATCTGGTCACACTGGGCCAAGACGCGCAAACGAAGGCTGCACGTGCAGGATAGGATGCTTTCACTCCTCGTGCGTCAGTCCGAGCTCCAGGCGCCCACGCAGTTATGTAGCTCAGTCACGGCTATGGGAGGCATAGCGCCACAGAAAAGGACCCCGCTCCCAATCTTGAGCCAAAATGGCATCAAGGTTTGGAGTTAAACGCCTGGGGCCTACTACATGTTGCAAACGCCAAAATGTCCCTATACCCAACCATCCATTCATTTCGGGGCGAACGCCTACAAAAGAAGTCGCGCAGGGAACAGCTCCATGCCAGGCATCCGCCACTTCGAAGCCACGTCGGGCCGCTGCTTGGGCGACCACAATTGCTGCTTCCACAGTGAGCCAAACAATGGCCACGTGGCCGCTGCCTTGTACAAAAGACATTCAAAGACTACTCAACATTATGTCGGCAGATGGGACAAAAACGATCATGGCATCTTCACGAGGAGAATGGAAATTGCCAAAGTTACTCAAGGATCTCATCAACTCTCATTTTACAAATCCACCTTCGGGATGTCTGGCCTGAGCTGATGCCTGAAACCACTCCATCAATCACGCGCTTGGTGGTGGCGGCGCGCAAACCAGGCAAAGCGCCCATCAGTAGAGTCAGCAGGGCTAAGCAGAAGGTCAACCAGCGGCTGGTCACCTCAACACACGAACTTGCAGTTCATTCGGTTGAGACAAAAACAAAAAGGGCATTGCAGGTATTCGTCCGCACGTGAAAAGCGCTCGTTAGTTTAATTGGTTGCGGCTTATCACACTTTCAGAAAGTTCAGTGAAAGTAAAGTCGCACCCCTGGTGCGCCTGGTGTGTCTTCTAAAAGGCACATGCCCGGGTCATGCTTGAAGTCATTTGGTTGACACCGTCGGCTTGATGCACATTGTATCTGGTTTCCGTGCCAAAATCATACTCATACCTTCCTGGTCAACCAACAAACAATGATTACTCACTTTTGGAATATTGTTCCTATTGAACATCTTTGCTTTGTGGGAAGAGATTGAGCAAGAATCAGTGAACAAGCCTTTTTATGCAAGAAGCTCCCATGTTTTGACTCCAAGTGACCCAAACCAAAAATAGAGCACGCTTGGTGCCTGACACAGCTGCAAGATCGGTTCCCCCAAACCTCGCATGTCAATGTTGCTCCTCGATCTGGCAAGGTACTTCAAATCCGTCATGGTAGAGAAAGTTTCCACATTTACCTTGCAATTCTGAACCAGCGTGATATATATATATAATCTACAGTAGATATATAATGTATGTATACCTGCAAGTTAGCCACTGGTATTGCAACCCATCCCATCCGCGGCATGTTGATGAAATGATTCGCGCCACGTCAAAGCGTTTCGGTATATCCTAAACGATCCAACGACTCCTGAGTGGGGCTTCTTTTCCATTTTTGAGTTGTATACAATTCATGCATGTTCAAGTTGAATCTCCAGTCCAAGGTGCACCCAAAGAGCCCGAAGAATCGTTCTTTCCAGCTGACACTGGGGGCTTTCTTGACAGGCATGGAGGCTGCCATCGAAGGATTCCATCGTGTGATCAAAGGCCTTTGCAACCTTCGATCTCGTCGCGTGGCTTGAACCGCCAAAGCTCCCAGTGCAAAGCTGCCTAGTTCAGTCGACGAACAAAGGCTGCAACAAGGCATCATGCAAGCTTGTACGGAGTTGTTTGCGGTATCTCAGTGAACAAGTAGCTCCTGCTAGTGATGACGTGCATCAAGCGTGCAAAGAATCCGTTCACAGCGAGTGTCCAATTTAAGTTTGGATTGCAGGATCTGCAGCGCAGGTCATCTCAGATTCACAGTTCCCTTGCCTGTGACAGGGAAGCACTGTTGAGTTCCCTCCTTTGCATACACTTCCCTTGCCGTACTTGCCCATAAGCCGCGAGGAGCGCTGGTCGCCAGCAGGCTGCCCGCAGGGGCGGGGGCCGGATCCATGGCTTAAGCAAACTCACTCTTGCTTGGCAATGATTTTTGTGCGTCTGAAAGAATAGTTTGGCACATTGCCCTTCCAAAACAAACATTCACGGCTTGTTGGCTGAGGATTCGTTTCTGCGAACCCACTGCAATTCTTTCAAGTGCCTCACTCCAACTTCATCTGGTCAAAAAAACAAGAAAACACAGGCAATGGATTTGCGTCACTTCGTCTCAAACATCGCTGATTTTGCCATTGCAGTTTTGCAGGGATCCTCAACCATGGTCGTATCAAACTCTTTCTGTGATGCTCGATCAAGTGATGCTCAATTGAAGCTGCCAGCAAAACACGTGTTGTCATGTTGCAGTTTGCAGTGAGGAAGCTGACAGTAGAAGGCTGAATGACATTCAATGAGAAAATCACAACTGTTCCATTGTGGTGCAGCAGTACTGCCACTGCTGCTTGCTGTCAATTTTTTGACCGTGGTAGTAGGCGTGGTAGTAATCCAAATCTCTTGCGGTCTTTTGGTAAATGCCCCACGTGAAACATAGCACTTATTCAAGATGCTTGGGGGAATTTTTTGCAGCTCATGTAGTAGAGCTGAATGTTCATTTGAAGAAATTTGGGACTTGCTAAGAATGCTCCTGCAGCTGAAGAAGCCCTGCGTGACCTTTCAGGGCCTTCCAGGTTGCCCATTGGGCCATCTTGGATTCAAACGAGACCACACTACCCTCGACGCTAAGTAAGTTTCCCTGAAAATCAGCCTAGTCTCTACTGGCTACCTAGCCCCTGCCCTGGGCTAAAACAAACTTACTTTACTTCGATCGTCCCCCATCATGACATTTCAATTTGTTTGTTTTCACACCACGGTGAGGAGCACGTTGCCATGGTCGTGAGCTTTGTGCTTACTATTCTAGTGTTAGGGAGTTCTTGTCAGGGTGTTGCAAGGGTCTCCAGTTGGCATCCAAGAGTTACCTTGTGACCACCTGCCACGCAAAGTGCCATATTGTTGTAGTTGCGTGCAGAGTGCTGTGGTTGTGTGCAGTGCTTGTGTGTTGTGGCTGTGTGCTGTGGTTATGTGTTTGTGGTTGTGCTTGTGGCTTCTGTGCGCGTGGCTGTGTGTTGTGGTGGTGCTTGTGGCTTCTGTGTGTGTGTGGCTGTGTGTTGTGGATGTGTGTTTGTGACTGTGTTTGTGCTTGTGTGTTCGTGGTTGTGTTTGTGCTTGTGTGTGTGGCTGTGTGTTTGTGATTGTGCTTGTGGCTGTGTGTTCTTGGCTGTGCTTGTGGTTGTGTGTGTGTGGCTGTGTGTTTGTGACTGTGCTTGTGGCTGTGCGTTCTTGGCTGTGCTTGTGTTTGTGCTTGTAAGTGTGCTTGTGACTGTGTCTGTGTCGTTGTGTGTTTGTGGTTGTGTTTGTGACTGTGGTTGCGTGCTTGTGTTTGTGTTATGATCTGGCACTTGCGGTTGAGGTCCGGTAGCGCCTACTGCGATCTGGCGTTTGCTGTTGAGGTCCGGTTCTGCCCACTGCGATCTGGTGCTTGCTGTTGAGGTCCGGTAGTGGCCACTGCGATCTGGCACTTGCTGTTGAGGTCCGGTTCTGCCCACTGAGATCTGGGACTTGAAGGAAAGGAAAGGAAAGGAAAGGAACGGAAAGAGAAGGGAAGGGAAGGGAAAGGAAAGGCAAGGGAAGGAAGACTATCTTTGAAAATCTAACAACCCTCACTTGACAGGTGGCGAAAAACATGAAACTTCTCGGCACCTTTGGGAGGTCACATGATGGCACCACGCGCAAACCCAAAGGAAAATATCCTCCAAAAGGCGCTTGTACATGTAGTTCTCCTCAGTTGGGCACATCACATCTGACAAGTGTGAAACGTCAGTCCCTCAAACAATTCTCCTAAGCACTTCTGACAGCATCCAATGCACGTTCAAACTACAACAGCAAGTCTTGGCCGATAATGTTGGTTTGAGCCAGGTTTTGACACAATGTCAACCAAAGCAATACTCATACTTTAATCATCTACAATCAACCCCAAAGCTCTCCTTGGATCTGTGGCATACTTTTATCAAACGGCTTTGACTTGATCTATATATATAGTATATAGCGTCCCTGGCAAAAAAACAATTAACATGTGCTAAGCAACTCCAGGTCTCCACGAGCCACCAAGGTGCTGTGTGCCATCCTTCACCTTTCTCAATAAACTCCTGGGTGAACGGCAACTCTGATCAACCCCATTCCACCGTTCCTCATCCTATTCAGATCTACGCAAAAAACTGACTGTAAACCACTCTTTTGAAACTAAAAGCCATGTAAGACCACATGCATGAACTCCGAGACATGGCCTTACCATGGTCCACACCCCACAGAACCACTGCACATATACCCAGCTCAACCGAGTGGCCGAAAGATGCGGATTCCACGACTTCGACCCCACTCTAGCACTGCCGCTCATCAAGAACTTCCTGATATGAGTGACGGTCAACATTTGTTGTTGAGTTGCAGGTCATCAGGATTATATATTTGGTAAGTGTTGACCGTTTTTTTGAGCGAGACATGCATTTTGAAATCCCATGACCACTCACTGCCCATTTGTCACTTTCACTAATGGTGAGCCTAGCTCATATGACAAGTACTCGAAGAGATTGGACGCGCGGACCCGTGGGCCCCATTTCGATGCTGCCGCTGTGAAGGCCACTTTCTGCTGGTCCACTATCTAGAGGCCTGCACGCTCCAATCTCTTATAGACTCTCTTGTGGATTTAGAAGGGCAGCTCCCGATGGTTTCGTGTGTTTCGCCAAAAACATCTGAAAGCAAAACAAGTTCATCCCCGAGTCATCCCTCCGGTTCACCGTCCGCCACTTGCAAGCTAACAGAGCTGCGGGCTGGGGTGGACTAGTGCGGCATGATGCGGGACGGCACTGGAATAGCGTAACCAATGCTGCAAAATAATGTTGCGAACTAAGAGCAGTGGTACGGCGTACGGGGCAAACTATCGTTGCTGGATGAACCTGTGTTTGCATCTTAACAAAGTCGCAGCAAAGCCAAGGTGACTGAAAATTTGCTTGATGCTGAACAGGCTTCAACTGAGCATCGCTTCTCATTTCCTCTTGCAGTCTGCGCACACCTTCAACAACGGGAGCTGTTTGGAATTCAGCTGGAAGCTTTGCTAGGACCGAATCCTCAGTGATATATTCAAAAGGCACAAACATGAGGTAGCCCCGATCAGCCCGTTAGTTGATCCGTGGGTGCAAAGGGTCTTGGTGGACAAAACGATATAATCTGACGGGGACAAGAGGTGCACTCAGGAGGCTAATCACGTCCAAGAATCTAAAATCTTTGGCATCCTGTTGGTGATAGTATCATGGGTAAAGACATCTTCAGGTGCAGCATCTGCACTCAATCCTATCAGGAACCAGGCAACTTGATGAATATAGACTGCACATGGGCACTCCGGCAAAATGTAACATCAATCGATTGTGTTTCCTTTTGGAAGACTACTGTACTTCTTTACCGATCCCACTAGTGCTGCATAGAAGAGTCTAATCATTTTGGCCGCCCCACCATCGCTGGCACGGAGTGGCTCTGGCAAGTCTTTGTCAGGCATCGGGCGTTGCCAAAACCTGGGTCTGCTGGAGAACTTTGACAATGAGGCAAACCAGAGAAAGCATTCTTTGTCATCACTCCTCCATAGAAAGTGCCTCTAAAATGTCAAACCATCTTGGACTACGTTGAGACTGTTGTTGCTAAGTGTGTATCCTTTTCTTGTAGTTTGATACCGGCTGCCCTTAGGGCCGGTGCGTCCAGTTTGTCCCTGCTGTTGCTTTCCTAGCTGCAGGGCACGCTTGGGGTGGGCACATACATGTTGGTTAAAGCTGGCGGTTTTCCAAAAACTATAGGTTATCAGCCGCATCGCAGATCGATGTGAGCTGTGGGACTATGGGCCCAAAATCCGGGGGGCCAAACACCTGGACAAGCCAGCACCTCGCGTGCGCCTAACACAAGGGTTTGGTGGCTCACACCTTTGGGCCGCGAGAGTGAAGTTGCTCCATTCGCCTTGCCTGCAGGTTGTGTGAGCTTGTCATGACCAGAGTTCGCCGCCGGTCACCTTAGTCCACTTGTGCACTTACTTCACCAATTGCTGTGAACAGGAGCGCAAAGCAGCTATGTGAACTGCAAGCAGCTGAGTGAACTGCGAGTTCCTCATGCAGCATGGAAGTGAGGTGGGTGGCAGGTCACTGAGAGCACCACAGGCCAACGCGTGCCATCACTGGTTTGTGCACCTTGTGGTTGTGAGGAGGATGTAAGAGCTGCCGCTGTGTGCCGTGCGCATGGGTTTCGGGCTCTTTACCATGCAATGTCGCGACTGTTTTGTTTCAGCGGTGCATACATGTTGGTTAAAGCTGGCGGTATTCCAAAAACTATAGAGACAAACCGACATCTCCCCTAATCAAGTGCCACGTAACATGGTGACTCGCCGAAGACGGCTCGAAGCCAGGACCGCAGCACAGCTGGCCGCCAGCCGGTGTTGACCGAGTTTAGGTCCTCAGACTCACGAAACGGAAAGCTCATCTTTTTAGGATCTGTTGCAGAAAGTGAAGAGGGAACTTGCAATATTATGCAACGAGTTTCAAGAACATGCATTGTTTGAAGTTCTACGCTAATTGATGAAATTCCAACGTTGAAGGACAAACTGCGACAGCCCTCTTGCCTCGCACGAACCTTACCTCCACCACCTTAAGTTCAAATAGCAAGTAACAGGGAATGAATTATGTATATATATATATATACAATATATATATATATACACATTGGCACATTGGCCTGTTCTGGTCTAGATCTTTAGACTTAGTGAGTCCCCTATCACTATTGTTTATGTCGTTTTATAATGTTTTATAGGGGTCGGCTGTTCCTCACAAATGCAAGGACACAATGCACCCAATGAAAGAGATCCCTATCTTTTCACAGTGTTTGCACGGTGTTCCTAGAATGCAACCTGCAAGAGAGCTCTTGGACAAGTCTTGGGGCCTATAACTGGGAGTTGTTTCCGAGGCAACCCGTGCAATTTATGGGTCTGGAGCATGTACGCACAAATGGAGTGGCTTTTACAACAACTTTGAGCGTACTTTGCCCACAACTTGAAACAACATGAAACAACTGCAAAATTCTTGCAAGTTCGATCCTATCGCAGTCAAGCACAGAAAATGATGGAACATGTCTCAAGTCCAAGTGGCTTTGCCAAGCCCGTGCCAGTTGTGGGACAGGCGCCACAGCTCGACTTGGTGTCGCAAGAAACATTGTGTTCAGCTGGAGCAAAAATTGCATTTCGCGATTGTCAGAGAATGAAGGACGATGCAGGCTCAGGAATCAGCTGAGCAGTGCCCAAGACGCCTACAACCGTCCTTGTATACACCAAGCGAGGCGGAGACTTTTCATTTGCAATCGCAGCGGTTCCTTCCATTGAGACAAAGTGATGTGGCGGCAAAGCCGCCTCTGCTTGACAGGCTGTAGGGTTTACAGATGTTTACAGCAGGAGCCTTGCACAGGCATCCCTCAAACCTGTCCACATGTGCATGACCAAATTGTACTGGCTGCACCCTTAAGGCGGAGTTACAGCCAAACATTCTCGAATTTCCGTAGCTTGAGCATCTTTAACATTCTGAGTCTTGTGGAGCATTCATCTAGAACCATGTTGTTGCGGGTCGAAGCAAGGGTACACAGTTCATTAAAGAACATCACTGCAAAATAGGAGAAAGTCACTTCCTCAGCCTGACTCAGTAAAACTCAGATATGCCGACATGTTTCGTGCAAGCAACTCGAGTACCCTTCCTTGTTGACCCAGGCTCAAAACGCGCGGCTTGTGTTCAGATGTCGAAAATGAAGACGGCCATCAGACTGCCGAGATGATGAGGAACGTGAAGCCAGGAGTTGAAATGAAGTTGCACGAAAAACACAAAGTCTCACCAACACCAACATCTGCACCCTGCTCCGGCATGGAATATTTGCTGGTAGCCAAAAACCTTGTCACATCTCTCAACTAGGCAAACAACACTTCTTTTGTGGTCGGTTGAAACATGTTGAAACAATTCAATATATATATATATATTATAATATATTTGAAACCTTTCAACTCGCTTTCTCCATGCTCCACACCGCAACTACGCACGCACTACAATGTCATATGATGTCGCATGTTAAATATCATGACGTCGGCTGACGTTCACAGGTGACTGATCACCAATCAAAGACCTTGACACGAGAGGCTCCCAGCGCATGGAAGCACAAAAACCACCGGTATTCTGGGAGCAGCTTGCTGCATTTCCCAGTGAAAGGGTGTTGCGCTATAAAGGTGCTGTCTGCCGCAACTTTGGCGTGACGTGCACTCTCCATGTGGTGCTGAGCCGTTTTAAGCACGCACTGACTCGAGCAGAAACAAAAGGGTTTGCATTAAAACCTCTCCGCCAGAGGCGATTCTGCGAACTACTGGGAAAGGTCGGAAACGTCAGCTGTTCCAGAGCGTCCTAAGGTCGATTACTGCGAGCCAGCCAGATCAACTACATTGGTAGTTCAAGGCATTTTACGGCCATACTTCAGTGCAAGTTAAATTAGTAATGTCTAGTGAGTACACCCAATCAAACTTGCTCCCTCTATATATACTGCACCTCTCAAATCCCCTCAAATTTTAAGATGCCTGACTCATAGACTCATGAAGCAATTAATGGTGCAATGGTTTCGTACAATGGCAAGGATAAGGAGTGTTGGCAACAGGGCTCTCGAGCTCTTGTGTCCCAGCGTCGCAGCTACCGAAGACTCAGGACCCCCTGTGATGAAAGCTGACAACGGATTTCTAGCTGCTCCAAAATTAGGTCAACACTCGCTACTTAATCAGCGAAAAGCTCAGCGAAAAGTGTTCATCCAAACTCATCCAACCCCCTCTTCTCAGACTGCTGGCACATTGGGATCGAGCTTCTGAGCTTCTGTTTCCATATCCAAGCTAGGTGGAAGAACGGGTCTTACAGTACCTGTATCTTATCCAGCAGCCCAAAGGCGAGGTTCTGGATGTCGCCAACGCACATGTGGACTCGATGACTTGATCGTCTATCGCTCGAGATACTTCTGAGGCCTTCTGAATAGCAGGTGGTCTTGACAAAGCCAGTGGCTACAGTACCGAAACAAATGGCCAATGTCTAATGTTGTAGATTGTAGATATTTTTGTCATCCAGGTGGGTCATGATTTATTATTAGTCATGTCAGTGTCCTAGCTGCTAGCTGTTTATTCTTGTTTACTGTTGCACTGACAACTCACACCAATACAAATGACTGTTGCACGGTCAAGCCGCCCCGCAAATCTGCTTCTCTTCTTCAACAGAATCACAGGATACAGGAATATCATTATCATGGAATATCTGCAATGGAATATATAGGTCAAACGGTCAAATGAGTCATGAATATTAAGAAGCGTGCATGAGAAACTAATCAAAGCTTCCACAGGCTTTGTGGACCTCTTCACATCTCACCTCCAGGAGATGATTACATTTCATAGCCAAAGACCGGCTGGCAGCACTGGGATTCCGCTTGGCTGGTTCACAATTGCTACAGTGGCACTTTTCAAAGTTGAACTGCCAACCAGTCGGAAGAGAAAGTTTGCCTTCAAATCTGTAGTTCATAAGTCATACCACTCATCCCTTACCGCATCAGAGATGGACTGTGAGACCGAAAACAAAACGATCTTTTGCAGCTCAAATTTTGAGGCGGAACTTGAGGCCACTAAGTAGTCAAGCAGTGCTACACCTAGCCTTGACACTGCACATTCACACACACATACAGTAATTACACATATATATATACATAAATATATATATATATATACATAGTGTCTATACTATACTTCACACACAGCCAGTGTGTAGAATGCTGGATTCATCCTGTCAAAAACACGTGGGGGTTCAGTGCAATTGCTTAATTGCTTGAAAACGCAATGGTCGCTTTAAATTGTGATACAGTATTTGCCTCATCCAGTGAGCTAGCAAGTGACAAAAGGTCTCTTTTTTGCCAGTGGCAGGTTTCAAAGATCATTGCAGGGTCCTCCCCAACATCCAAATTCCTGTATTCTCAAGCGACCCCATACATGACCCATTCTACTCTTTACATGCCAGAATACATTGAATACATCACCAAACAGTGTTTTTGTGTACTCGGTGTTCTCAGGGAGGGCCCAGACTCTCACGGCGATCTGTGACTGTCGGAGAGAGCCCAATCCACGCTTGGGATCAAAGGTTTCCGACGTTGCCTCGCATTGGCAAAGGCAAAGTCGTTTGACATCGGCAAAATAGGCAAATATGTCTTTTTTTAATGGGGGGTAGGCCGCTAAGAGGTAGGTTAGCTAGGTAGGTAGCTTAGTAGGGAGAGGCAGCTAGTACCTTACTTAAGTTGCTAGATGTTGCTAGTATGGACGCAGGATAACGCTCGCACTATTCATTTGGTTCCTAGATTTTTTTGGAAACTTAACAGGAGTGTATGGAGAGTCCTGCCATTGAAAAGGCAGTCTAGATTTATGCAGGTATGCAGTGTGCAGTGATATGCAGTGCATAAAGGAGAGGGTTTTGAACCAACCAGTCACTCACAGCCGACCAACCAGTCACTCACAGCCGTGGCATCTTCGAGGAACACCTCAATGATTTTTCCTAACGCGCCCTAAACCGGCCACACTATGTCCCACTGCAGCAAGCACCAAACAAGCCCTGATTCAACTGGTACCTCAAAAAGCCAACGCACCAACTGTTTAAGTGTAGTTCGCTCTTAGGTTGGAGGCCATCGCTAGTAGGCTGGAGGCCATTTGCTGCACTTGGCCCACCTCCAGGGAGGGCCCCTGGATTGCCGGTCTGATACACGCCAGGTTGTTGAGCCATCTGGGCAGCCATTGCCTGGCATAGAATAAGGTTAATCACATAGATCTCAGTATTGATCGCATGTCTGTATTTGTCCCTTTGAAGCAAGGCCGAATATATGTGTGCACGTGAACCGGCACTGCAAACTGCACAGTTTCGTGTTTACCAGACACGGTTGCCAGCAAGTGTAGCCAGGCACCAAGCTTGATGCTGCCCAACAAGCAGTCGCCAGATTCTACATAGAAATCACCAAAAGGTGATTCTGTCATATTGTCATTTGGCAGGTCTTAAAAGCAAGGATCGCCTCGGAATCACACGAGACCAACGCCTGCACTGAAAGTGCTTGTTCCATGGGCCGATGGTTCAATTCACCAGGCAAACCTCTGGCGACATGTTGTTCTAAGTTGCTTCTGCCCTTGCGAAACCCATGAGCTGTCAGGATATGAGCATGGTGAGGGTCTTCCACCAACTGGCTGCCTGCATTTGAGTCATGGTCATCTGGTTGGGCATTCCACCACCTGCCATCACACCAAAGTGCTGAGCGGTTGATGGGCCTGATGGGGGTGCCTCCCACCATAAAGTGTAGATAGAGCCGCTCTACTTGTACATTGTTTTGATGCTTGTACAACATGTGACAGCTGGGCTGGGCACGGGAAGGTTAGAATTAAGGTAGCCACATGAAGCCCTCAGTGACACATTACCCGAAATTTCAAACCATACATGTTGTCGTAGGCATTGTCCGGACAACAGTCTCCAATCGACACTATATACATTCAATCCATTGAAATGATAAGAACAACTGTGATGTGATCACTGGCCCTTAGATGCATTGTCGACGACATAGATGCATCTTCTTATTCTGATAGCTAGGCCTGCTTCCTAGTTTTAAATTGAACTTTTATACTTTTATACCAATGGAATATACAATCCATGCTGAGTTCTAGGCAATGCACACTATTGATAAACTAACACCTGCTGGGTCAAAAGGAACATTGCTTGATTGATTGAAAAACACCAAGGAACCTGTCTTCTCACGGCAAGAAGCAGAACGCTTCTATAGCTCTGGTGACTGACCTTGCCTTGACCCTGGTTCGTGCTGCCGCCCAAGAGGTTTGCTCCTGACGGATACAATCAAAACATAGCAATGTTATGTAATGTGTTACAAAATCAACAACCCAGGCCCCTACCCAACCCTACCAACCCGTACTGTATCTCGTTGTGGTCCTAGCCCCACCAGTATCAAGTCACACAAGTCCGTGCCCAGACCTCCCAAGTTTTGGAAGCAGCCGCCGCTCAGGTTGGAACCATACTCAGCCGCATACTCGTCGAAATTGCGACCTTGGTCCAAACAACTAGGGATCCATGACATGCAAACAACTGCGCAAATACAAGGATGGCTTCGTGTTTTGGATCTGCAAGTTGGCAAATTGGTGTTATATATTACTAAGACCGACCAATATGGGAGCCAAACACCCATAGGTTCCGGCACGCGCATCTCAATTATGGGCTTCTACAGTAGGAACTCGCAGTCGTTGGTCAATGGAAATAGATGGCCAATCTGTCACTCGCTACACGTTCATGGGATTTAATAGAGCCATGCGACACCACGCACATACACACACCCGGATGCCACGTCCACACCCGGCCTCCACTCTGTGCGGCGGAGGCCAACCTGCACAAGGAAAACCAAACATGCATCGCCACCAAGAATAGTGGAAAAAGAATGAACAAGGTATGGCTGAGAACTTGCTACTTTCAAGTCACAGTTATGTAAGGTGACCCTTGATGCGCATGATGCAAGGTTGTGAATGCTAATACTAGAAATAAGCACAGGTTTGCTTGTGAACAGGACTGGACGAACTCCAATTGATCACACAGGCCAAAAATATCCCTTCTGGTAGGCCACAAGGCAGCGAGATGCCACGTATCTGCAAACTCGTTTAATACGTTTATAAAAATAAGTCTTGATAACATGTACGAGCATCGGCCTTTCATACATGGCCGGCGTCAGATTCGCTCCGCCGGCAGCGTTTGCAAAGCATCCACCTTTCACATGCAACTTACAGCTAACTTCAGGATTGCAGGGCGAGCCAATTCTACCCCGAGACTATCAGCACTTACATGTGTTCACCATCGGGCCTTGAGTTGATGACACAACTGCATGTCAAACATAATCACAATATCATGTTTTTAAAAAAATCATCCACTTGACTTAGAAGCCAGACCTGCCCCCGATGCTCCATCGCCACTGGGCATGCATCCAGCCATGCCTTCAGTGTCAGAGGAAGGAAGAATAAGACTAACACAAGAAAAGGTTATAATCCTAGTTAGAAATCAATACCTTCAAGTCCACTCTGTAGTTGTATAGATGGGTTTTTCCAAAATCTAACCCTGGCAGCCACTAGCACTAGCATCCGTCCTCCGACCTTGCACCCTTGCCTTGTCCAGGATTTCCACCGCCCAAAGGATTGCCTGGTAGGAATCAACTGACTTTTGATCAAACAGTTGATCTTTTGATCCGTTTCAACAGTGATAATTTACACTATTTTTTTGTGCTAAACAAATAATTACTCCTTTTTTGGGTGACATTGAGTTGTTAATTTTGTGGGACGCACATTCGTTGACACGATGCCTCCTTGCAAACCGTGCAGCTCACCTAAAGTTACACTCATTTTTCCATGGCAGTAAACAACCTCTTCGCCTGCGAGGTTGGCAAAACAGGCTCCAGCGGCCGCTCGCAGGTTGTTAGAGCCTTGCACACATGTTCGTTTGCTGTGGCCCCGCATCTGGCGGCAGGTTCACACGGAAATCCCACTGGTTGGTCCAGCACATCAATGCAGTGGACGCAATGCCAACTCGTTTTTGTTGGGGTGGACTTTCAAAGAGTTGACATGCAGTACGTGGCGATGCAAAGGTCAGTTCCCAGCCTTGACCTGTGTAGTCGAAATCATCAAAGCCAGCACCTCACCATGCTAGTTTTCCTGGTGTAAAACGCACTGATTTGCAAATCCATCAGGGTGTTGATCGTTTATCTTTTTCACTGTCTCTTTTGTTTGTGCAATTGACCTCAGCTCAAGCATGGAATGAGGGGGTGTCAAGCATGCTAAAGACTGATCGCACACATGAAGTGAAATGGATCCGAAAGGGTGGTGGGGGAAACTGCATGACACCAGCATACCCGGCGCGTAGAGAATTGGAGAGTTCATGTATGAAAGCATTTAGTTGAGTTGACTACTCCACAGAAGTCAAAATGCAACCATAGCAATGCGCCCCTTTTTCACGCGCAGTGCTTGAGCCAAATCAAGTCGGAAAGATCCAAAATGACATGTACTCTCAGAATGATATCAAATGTAGGTGAAAGGGTGGGCACCTTAGCCCATATTCTTCAACTCCCCCTCACTCTGTACATACATGGCACTCATTGATTTCAGACAATGCCATTGGTGGCAGTCTTGCAATTCCAAGGATGCGAATCCTACAAACCTACAGCTTCGGCTGCGTTCAAACACATCTGGTCCAAGGTCAACGCCCAATCCTGGGGAGCAAGAACTTTTGTAAACCCATTGGCCCGTGTTCCAGCGTCGGACAGAATTGCGCAGTGATCATCTCATCGCTTTCAAGGACTTCTGAAAGTGAGGCCACGTTTATACGATGGACCCTACTGGTGTGTCTAACACACGCGCTATAGCCGTTCTTCAGGATTTAAGGACAGCATCGTTATCTTGTTGAATCGGACTCTGATTGGTTTCTGGAGAAGATATTATTGTACGAAGACATGTATATATTCAGCACCTCACCAACCATGGCAGCGGCCATGGAGATCAACTCAGACTCTGTTCTCCGAGCGACACTGCCTTGCTTGTTGGCCTGCCAAAATATCGGAAAGCTGCATGAGCCAGTGCTTAGCTGGACCCAAAGACCACGAGTGCTTTTAGCCGTGTGTTGACAGCTCCCGAAATCGGCGTCTGTGAATATGTCTAAAATTGGACCTTCTGCCATATCTACCTCTCCCTTTAGGATGAAGTCTGTTGCGCAACTTATATATGAGATGCAACGCAAGAGCTGGCGATCTTCGAACCGTGTCCATATTGCTACGCGCGACGCCAATCTAGTTGTTATAAACGTGAGATCCGGACGGGAGAGACGTGCAATCCACAGCATACGCATCAGAATGCGCGAGGCGTCTTTCTTCAACTCTCCAGCTTGACTCTGATCTTCGTCTGAATATTAGCATATGCTCTCATGTCGAACAAGCAAACAGATCTTTCTTTTGTTTATAATGCTTTCTGCCTAAGATCAGAGTTCCTGCGCTTGCATCGATAGTGGCCTCAGGTTCCAACTTTACGGTCTGTTTGAGGGCTTGCCAAAAACTCTTATCGCAACATGTCGGACCGCAAAGAGTGAGATCGTCAACAGAGACATTGAGCAGGAGTGTATACTGCCTGCCTCCAAGATCCCCACGAATGAGGTAGTTCGAAGCAAACTGCGGTATTTCCTCTGCACCTAAGGCTCTGAGCCTTTCACGCAAGTGGTCTTGCCACCAACGACCGGCCTTGGGGTGGCCGTAACCTCACGCAGACACGATCGGAAGGCTTGTATGAATCACGCCAATGATCCAGCCACAACCCCATGTCGGCTCATCCTCATCAAGAGTCGATTGAAGAAAGGCTTGAGTTGCATCTGCTCATGTTGCGGAGTGCGTGGGCAGTGACGCGTACCTACCACAATGCAAGTCCCAGGGCGATGACCGAAGTTGGCGTGGTAGCCGTCTGTTCAAACATCAGGGTGTTTTTCCAAGCATCTTTCACAACATCACCCCTATTACAGATTCTTCCTTTCCACTTCCAATGTTCGGGTTCGAGCTCATGATGTTTGATCCCACACAAGGGAAGAAGTTCAGCCAAATTGATCTCAGTTCCTAGCCGTCTGGCTTGACTCTTGAGGGGGTTGACACCAACTGGACGGAGTCGTCGTCCCACGCGCCGTTGGTTCGTAAACCTACTGCCTCTTGTTTGACAGCGGCTACCCCCCTTTCATCTTTCAACCAAACACTTTTGGGAAGATTAAGCGTGACTAAACCTGGGACAGTTCCATGCCACTGCTTGAGATACCAACATTCCATCAAGACTTCAGCCAGCTCTCTGGTGTAGAATGCTGACCTTTTAGCATGTCCACCCATGGTTTCCTGGGCAAACAAACTGTGAGAAGAATTGGATGATGCGAAGGTCATTAGTGTACAGGCACCAGGGTTTTCCCAGATGATTTCCGGCAAAGCTTTTGAACGATGGGCAACGATCCTGTCAACAACCTCTTGCACGTTCTTTGCGTATTTCACACCTCGAATCTGACGCTCCTTGGAAGACTGACGCCAACAACGCCGCAATCGGGGTAGTGTCTGGCTGCGCAAGGAATCTCAGTACAGTATCCAAGGATACCGTAAAGAGACAAGTCGAAGGTATGCGCGAAACTCGATGCGGTATCTAAGGACAGCGTAAAGAGTATGGCGCAATTTGTTGCAGGATTGCAACAGGGGAGATCAGGGTCAAAGACCCAATGCAGTATCAAAGGATACCGTAAAGAGCCACTAGGGAGAAACGAGCCGTCGACCTAACCGAAGTGGACTCCTAGAGAGACCACCACCCTAACTAAGCAAGAAACTACGAGGACTGATATCTCGATTGAGATACTTTGGCTCAAGCCTTTGGGCCAAGAACGCTCTGTCCAGCAAAACGCCGAGCTGAGAATGTATACTTAGATAGTCTCAAGTATCAAGGATGTCGGACAAAGGGCTCAGCAACTAACAAGTATGCGATCACTTTATCCTTAGTCTATTATGGAGGTTGGACTATTAGGGGCTGCCGCTGTTGCTCCGAAGCAAACCCGCGACAGGGCAGATCACGGTCCTGCGAACTGCTCTGACGACGATTTATGGAAAGGCCGATCCTGCGCGATGCAAAAGTGAGGGAAGGCACAACTCACACTCAAGCTTAGTTCCAGAGGTAGGTCCTGCAACTCGATTTGGACCAATGAACAATGGGCTAAACAAGAATAGCGGAATGGGCTAGTGGGAGTTGGCGCAAGACTCACACAAGCGAAGTTATGGAATGCGATTTGAGGCTGTAAACCCGTTGAGCTGACTACCGCACAGCCTACCACGGTATCAAGTCAAAATGCAACCATAGCAACGCGCCCCTTTTTCACGCGCAGTGCTTGAGCCAAATCAAATCGGAAAGATCCAAAATGAGACGTACTCTCAGAATGATATGACATGTAGGTGAAAGGGTGGACACCTTAGCCTATATTCTTCAACTCATTTTAAAGGAAACACTTCTCTATAGACGCCCACCCCCGGCTCTCTCTAGAAAATTCCAAACCATATAAATCCAAAAAATGCGGTGACCAACCTTAAGCAGCAAAAACATTGCAAATGTGGTCTATGAAATGACCTGATCAAGTTCTGTGTTGTATAAAGCTGGATTTGTTCTATGAAATGACAATCCAACTGAACTGCACAAGGATAAAGCCAGAAAAGGCCAGGACTCAAAGGAAGGTGAAAGGAACTAAAGCACATATAAACACATAACTCCGTATAAGTCCATAGTAAGGCCAGGAGCTGAGCCCCTAGTAGCGTCCTTGCTCCTAGTAGTGCGGCCAGGAGCCCCTAGTAGCTTCTTGCTACCAGTAGTTTCTTGCTACTAGTAGCGATGGCCTCCAAGCAATGGCCTCCACCTAACCTAGCTTCTTGCTACTAGTCGAAACGTACAAGTATAACTTACCATTACCATATCAAATAGACATACAGCTGGAGCCACTTTTACTATGCAGTGTTTCTACTGTCAAGTCAGCTTCTCTAAGGCTGGCATTCCAGACGTCTTATCTTCTATGACCCGGGATGTTTTGAAATCTACCGCTCTACAGAATGCAATGTTTAGGTTTTTGCCTTTTTCATCCAGGGTACCCTCACTATAGAATGGGTCCCTGAATAGCATAGGCTTTTATCTAAGGTCCCAATGGTCCGGGGATTGCCCTGTGTCTCTGTGTCTACAATGGGTTCGGCAGGTCCGGTCGGGGTCTCCGCCTCTTCGAGGAAGGAAGACCCTCCCCGCTATAAAACTAGTAGCGTCCTTGCTCCTAGTAGTAAGGCCAGGAGCCCCTAGCAGCGTCCTTGCTCCTA